AAAGGCTACCAGGTTGGTCAGACATGACTTCAGCGTTTACACTTACCTGCATGTAATGTTTACACTTACCTGCATGTAAATACACATCTAAGTTTTGTGAACTCCTCAGCTCTAATAAGTTGATGTGTAGACAGGTGTAAACAGAATGTTGTGAACTCCTCAGCTGTAGTAAGTTGATGTGTAGACAGGTGTAAACAGAATTTCTCCATGACAAAGACTCTAAGAAACTTGTGGCCATGAAAGCCTGTCTTTCCAACTGTAGTAACTGGTCTTAACGTTGCCTCTTTGTCCAGACTTACACACTGGGCTGCAAGCTGTGCTTTGCTTCTGTGACACTTCACAGCTCTTACACCGTGACACAGAGTCAACCTGGCACATTCTGTTCAGAAGCGATCTAAATCTGAAATGCCTGTAAATATTTGTAATATTTGCAGTGTAAGATACTCCTAGAAGCTGTACTTCACTGCAAGGGTGCATTTTGTCTTCTGTCTGGACTCCACACTCACAGACCGAAAAGCAGATAAAGAACATTCTTTACTTCTGCAAGAGTGAGGACTCATTGTGTAACTCAAGTCAAGCGTGCTCAGAAACCCGTCACTCAGTCTTGGTCACTTTTGATGCACCTTGTACCTGGCAGGAAGAAGCTATCCTTGGCATCCGTGGTATTACCCAAGCCTCATTGTTTTTAACAGTTTCAGTGCCACAGCACCGCCTTCTCTGAGCTTATTTAGAAACAATAGGTGCCCTTTGAAAGGTGCAGGGCTGCAGGAGCGTCCCGAGGCCACCCAGAGGGGGCTGGTGCCCTTTCTGGGGTGAGCACACAATCCCTCACTCCACGTGCTCTAGGCATTGCCAGGACACGGGCTTTCGCTCTGCTGGCACTCCAGGCTCAGGATCTGCATCCTGATTTGATTGTACCTCGCTCTTAAGTCTACCTGCAGCTCATTTTTCAAAATACACAAACATAATCCTCCTGCAGAACTGTGCTATCAGCTTTCCCCATGCACGGCCTCTCACAGGCTGTGTCTGATCTTCTCTAGGGAGATACGCTGTGTAGCTTGAAGATCCAGAAATATTTGCTTCTTGCAAAGCTCTAGAACTTCTGAGCTGAGTGAGAGCCTCTGCCCTGCCTCTCCAAGAGGGAGCATCTCTGCAGTTCCTGTAGCTATTCAGGGTTGCCACTCCCCACCAGCCCCAACCAGCAGTCCTCTACTGTCATGATTAAGAATTAAAGGAAGAGCAGCTTATTATCTGCACCTCACTCCCAAGCACTGCTTGGGGATACCACAAAACAATTTCCAGGCTGATAACTCTGCCACCTAAGATAATGAACTGACACCGAGTCTGTGAGGCCTCACTTCTGCCTCGTAGGTCCAGCAGCTTTTCCATACACTGACTGTCAGCCAGTGACAAGAGGAGATCTCCCACTCTTAACTCAGGGTACAGCTCACGGCTTCCCAACCCCCCCACTGGAATACTCCCACACTTTGCCACTTCACCACTGAACATACCTGCTGCTAGAGGGTAACAAGCTGCAGCTGATGATTTGTGCATTCACAGCCCACTACAATGTGAAATGGTCTCAGTTATTTTGCAGTGAAAAGGAGTCAGAATTACTCTCCACAGCAAAAAATAGTAGCCGGTCACATGCAGGAAGAAACCCACAGAAATCCTTCATGGCCTTTCAGATGCAGGAATAATAAGATTAAAACTCGTGTGGTAGCAGAGTCTTCCTCTGGTGTTCCTCGCACCTCTCCTTGCCTTGAGCAGAGCTAGCAGCTCCCGCACACCCAGGGGCTGACCTCAGGTACAGCTCTCTTCCCACTTCGATGATGAAGCTTTTTCATTTGCGCCGCTCCGAGTGCCTCGGTACCGCTGCTCTGTCTGTGGTGTTTCAGTGCCTGTCCCTCTTTCCTGGCCGAGTTCAGTAAGTTGCATTGGGTGTCTGCTTAGTCTCAGCCCTCTGAGTTGTGCTCCAGGTGCTGTACAGCACTGCAGCAGCGCAGTGCCGGCTCCAGCGGTGGCAGGAGGCCAGAGTCACCCTGGATAAGGCCGTTGTGTGGAGACCCGAGGGAAGAACAGCAATCCTGGACCTGGCCCTCGAGCGGGTGCAGGTAAGACCACCTCTCTGAGTTTCTGAGTGTGTGCGTTGGGCACACAGAGAGAAATGTGAGATAAGAGTGTGCTGCTTGTTTTATGTTTGCGTTTTCTGGTCTACCCACCTGCTTGGTGACCTGGTTACAGAGTCTAAGCTGTTTGCGTGTGGTGCTTTACCAAAGCAGTGCTTCAGCTACCCAAGTAATTCCATCACCTCCAGCTGCTTCATAGCAAAGAAACACCATAGTGGAGAGTTGCGAGGTAGCCTCTCAGGTTGGGGACGTTGCCTTCTAGTCCCTGCTCTTCAGGAGCTTAGTTCTGTTCATACTTGTACTGTAAAACAAGTTACCTTATGCAGTGCTTAAGTGCAGGTTTGGAGGATCTCCCTTTGCCTGACATTGCCTGACTCTTTTGAGTCCCCTTGGCCTCAGTGAGAATTGATGGCAGCTCAGATACTGATTACAATCACATTTAGAGCTTAAGTAGAGTAAAGAGTGTTGCCAGGGTTGGCTCTAAGTAATAGTTTCCTGTTAGAGTCTTTTGCAATCAGGAACAACTTGCAGATCTCTGATTTACTATTCTTGGAGAGATTATTTTGCTGCCTTCATACTTCCTTACCTTGTTTATATCTTTTTTAAGAGATGAACTTTTTTTTTTTTGTTATTCTGATTGTCTCTTCTAGCGTCGTGCTTGTGCTTAGGTTAGTGTATTATTTGTATTTGCCATTAGCGTGCTACTCAGTGGTTGAACAGAGGAGTAGAAAGCAACATCTGAAGTAAAATAGGAAAACTACTGAGAAGATTTGTTTAATAAACTTTATTGCATTCCACCCCCTTCCCACCCATCTCGTGCCAACAGAGTGAGTCTTTGACTCAACACCGAGCAGTGGCTGCCGAGCTCTTAGTTTGCATGGGCTTGTTAAACTTGAGTGACGTTTTTCAAGTTCACAGCTACGATTTTTACCCCACTGTCTTCCTGGAGCTGATCTTGCGCACATCATACACACAGGGAAGCTATATTTGCTTTTCACTGCTGTTATGTTTAACGTTAATTGATGGCTTTTTCCTTATCTGCTTTCCCTGCCCTAGGACCGTCTGTTTTTAGAGCCCTTGCAGGTTCCTCTTGGGGAATTTTTCAGACCACGAAAGAAGGAAGTTGAACAGCTGGACTCAAAAGATTTCCTGGGTAAACCCAAGGTAACAGGCACGTAATAGTTAAGATTGACAGCTAGCAGATTAAAATCCCACCTTCTGACATCTCCAGAGATTATGAACTGCTGGCTGCTCCACTGGTGGAGACCCAAGAGCAGGACTGTCAGGACTTGCAGCCAGTCAAGGCATCTGGGACAAAGAAGCCCAAATTTGTTTAGAATCGCCATCTCTTCTATAAAATATGCAATTTGTTGCTAAAAAACCTTCCCAGTCTTGGTCACTTTAAACTCTGCAAAAGCTGAGCAGATGCTTAGGGAATGCTGTGGTTGTCCTTTTGCTGACAGAGACATTTTCAAGAGGAGCACATTCTTCCAGCATGCTCCTGCTCACTGCTCTATTCCCAGTGGGACAGGCAGGCACTTGGGAGATAAATGCTTTGTCACATCCTTTAGTGCAAGTCAGCAGAGTTTCTCTATCCCTTCTGTGACCAGTAGGGTCAGCAAAAGTGCCACAGGCCAGAGTGCTCCAACATGAGTAAAGGCAAGGGAAAGTAATTAATTCATGTACTTTTAAAGAAACCTTCGAAAAACTGAAAAAAAACCCCACAGAGGCATGAACACTTGAGAATCCAGCTCTGCTTTTTTTCACTATGTGAATGGCTCTACTTTATGTCTGACCTTAGGATATCAGAAGGTGTCATGGGTTAGGGCTGGGCTGGCAACTGAAATGCAGACAGATGCTCTCTAACCCCCTCTCCACCCCCCAAAATGGGAAGGAAAAGGGAATGAGGCAGAGAGACTTACAGGTTAGAAAAGAAAACTAAAACAGCTTTAATGAAACAATAATAGAAATAATAGTGAAATGATAAAGAACTATATACAACTATCAGGTGTTATCACTGCCAGTAGCACACACTGTCTGCGAAAACATGCTGCTGCCTTCAGAAAGTGCAGCCTTTTAGAAGAGACTGAACTGGAAAGCAAAAATCACTGAACAGATTTGGATTTTTTGGCTCAAACCAGGGCAGAAGGAAATAGGTCTGAATGGATAACCTTGCATGAAGTGTGAGAGTCTCTTAACCCAGCCTGGATTCAGTTATTACTTTGTCCTCTGGCAGGTGATCTCGTCCATCATCCCCAATGATGAGTACATCGGCTTCGAGCCTCTCAGGCCTCAGGTGAGCAGTGAAAGGACGAATGGAGGTGTCACAGAGCTCTAGGTAGGGCCTCAGATCCTAACTCTGTCAGAGTAGGAACAAGCTGTTGAAAAAATCAGGGCAATATCAGGTGAGAACCATGGGGCCGTTCAAAGTGAGGGGCTGAGCTTCAGCATTGCCTGGAATGGGCTCGGGGATGTGAGTTCAGCCCTTTGAAGATGCGTTTTTCTCTCTTCACTATGTCAGAACAGCAGTGGAGACTTTGCTAAGCTCCGCATGCGTTCAGCCAGCACTTTAAGTAATTTGTCAGTGTGAGCGTTGGCTGCCTTGCCCTGTAGTAGAGTTTCTTAGAACCAAGTAGGGGAAGAGATTTTGTTGCTTGCCTCCTGATGGCATAAAGAGGGAGGGGGAGAAATACTAAGTGCATCCTGGTAAGGGGTGGAGCAGCAGACTTCTGTCTGGTTACTGTAGTGTGGTAAATATGGTCAAAAGTAAGAACAAAATACCACAATGTGGTGTTCAGAGGGACAGTAAATAAGGTGGCACTGTTGCTGTGTGAGGTACTGTTTGGAATAGGTGCTGTATTTCCTCCCACAGAAACAAGGCTTTTATGAACCCAGTGCGGATGCTCTGCGGTAAGTGTTCAGTTCCACCTTGCTCCAACCCTCTTCATATTACTTCTGTTCTGAAAGTCATATTTTCATAGAGTCACAGAATGGTTTGGGTTGGAAGGGACTTTAAGGATCATCTCACTCCAACCTCTCGGCATGCACATCTTATCTGGGCACCCTGGTCCAGTGTCTCGCCATCCTCCTTGTAAAAAAACTTCTTCCTAATGCCTAATCTAAATTTACTCTGTTTGAAACTGTTACCCCTCATCCTGTCACTACACTCTCTGATCAAATGACCTTCCCCAGCTTTCCTGTAGGCCCTTCAGGCACTGGCAGGCTGCTCTGAAGTCTCCCCAGAGCCTTCTCTAGGCTGAACAAACCCGACTCTCAGCCTGTCCTCATAGGAGAGGTGCTCCAGCCCCCTGAGCATCTTCATGGCCTCCTCTGGACCTGCTTCAGCAGGTCCCTGTCCTTCTGTTGGGAGCCCCAGAGCTGGACACAGACACACTGGAGGGAAGGGATCCATCTAGAGGGACCTTAGCAGGCTGGAGAGGTGGGCCCATGTGAACCTTGTGAGGTTCAACAAAGCCAAATGCAAGGTCCTGCACCTGGGTTGGGGCAGTCCCACGCACAAATACAGGTGAGGGGTGAGTGGATGGAGAGCAGCCCTGCAGAGTAGGACTTGGGGTGTTGGTGCATGAAAAACTGAGCGTGGGCCAGCAATGTGCACTCACAGCCCAGAATGCCAATCACATCTTGGGCTGCATCAAGAGAAGCGTGGCCAGCAGGTGGAGGGAGGTGATTCTCCCCCTCTACTCCACTCTTCTGAGACACTCTGATGCCTGTGTCTGAAAACTCTGTGGGATCCAAACCCACTTCTCATCAAGGGTGGAGCAAGTGATAAATGTGCAAAGACTTGTGTGGCTGCAAAAGACACTGCAGTGCAGTGGCATCTCTCATGCAAGAATCTCAAGGCAGTTTGCAGGAACTGATTAAATAGTCCTGGGAGACAGGCCTGGATCATGCCGTGGCTGGGGAATGGAATCAGAGGGAGGTTGTGGGACCTGCCCAGGGCTGTGAGAGAGAATGCTCAGCTACTTCCCAGGACAAGGCTTCCAAATACTCACTCCCAGCTCTGCTGAGCTGAGCCAAAATCAACCTTGGTTCAAGAAACATGAAAGTAATTTGTTTTGCTGTTATCGTACCAGTAGTACAATACTTCAAGTCTGAGTTTAGTAATTGCTTTGATCTGGAAAGTGTTTATCAACACAATGAAAATGGGGCTGTTGTATTTGGGAAATCAGTGTTGCCATTCCAGTTGGACCAAGGAGCAGCAAAAGAAATCATGATTTCCCAACACCTGAAATTTTGGCATGTTCCAGTTTGCATCAGTGCAGTGTTCTGGATCAAGCCCATCCAGCACCAGAGCTCCAGGGTCAGTAAAGATGCTCTCATTCTTTCTTTCCAGAGACAGACTTGATGGCTACTGTCGAGTTTTGTCCCGTTATTACCCTGAGGACACGGAGAAGTTGTCAGTGAACGCTGGCAGTTTGGTCTTTGTCCTGACAAGAGGAGCAGACGGCTGGGCTACGGCCATACACGATGGACAGGTAAGGAAACTGATGTCCCTCGACATCGTTGCTCCTCTCTGCCTGAGCATCCATTTAGGAGCAGTTTGTTGGGCTTGATGGGTGTTTGGTCCATTGCATCATAGCCGCTCAGTTAGCAGCTCTGCTTTCCTCAGAAAAAGATTCAAAAGGCCTGTTGCATTTTGCTCAGCAATTTCTGAGCACAGGACTCATGGGCTACAGTATGTGACCCTGGGCCCCCCTTGGGCACATTTGTGTTGCCATAGGGTGAGCAGGGGATGGGGATTTGCAGGGGCAGCAGCAGAGTGGAGGTAACAAGATGGGGCTGGGTAGGGCAGCAGTTCCTGTCTCACCCTGCTCTGCTTTGTGTCCTGCAGAAGCTACGAATACCGAGCTCTCTCCTGGAGCCTGCCTCAGAGGTGGATAAATGGGTGAGCTGACAACCGTGCAGATATTGAGGAAGAGACCAAGAGATCCATTTGGGACATTTATTTGTAGCATTATCACAGGATAGGACAGCGGTGTAAAAGAAACATAGAATGTTAAACACTGAGACACCTTCCCTGAAGATGAGGATCTTGAACAGGAACAGCAGAAGGGCTAAGAGCAGGAAGAATGCTTTTATATATATGTATATATACACATGAGATCTCTTTACAGCAACATCTGGGGGCTTAAACATATAGCCAAGCCACAGTGGCTTGCATTACAAGCTGATCTTGTTATGTCTTATCTGCTGTGGACTGATACAGCACATAAAGATGAGCAGCTGCCACAGTTCTCCTGACCCACTGTAACATATTGAGCCACTGGAACACAGCGATGCGTATGAGGGCTTGAGACACGTGCCTATCCAGCCTGCTCCCATGATGTCTGCAGCCATCAGCTGTAGGATGGAAGAGGGTGAGGAGTGCTCATGTGTTCTAGTTCACCAGCAGAGTGAGAGCAGGTTCATCTCCTGCAGTGGGACAGTAATACCTTAAACAGGCACCGCTTTTTGCCATGAGTCCATACACCTAAGCCCTAAACTTAAGAAAATTTTTAGCTCTTGGCTTAGGAAAACATCTCCCATTGCCACCACGGGCATATCTACACATGATCCCAATCATTTTCCGTCTGAGCCCAATGCAAAATGGTGCAGCTCAGACCCCTATTTCCTATGACAGATTTTTGAAGGACATGTGTTCTGGTGTTGCTATGATTTTATCTTTTTTTCTGCCTCCAAATATATCCCTGGCCAGAGCACATGCTTGGATGTTTTCCTCTTGGATGTCTCATTGTGAACCAGCCCAAGTTCCCAGTTGAGCTGGCAAATGGTGGGGAGAGCCCTCAGCACCATGTGAGCAGCCTCCCGCTGCTTCAGCACCCACCTATCAAGGGGCTGGAGGCCAGGAAAGTGTCCCACCAAACTTCTCGTCACCCCTGATACCCTAAAGAGCTGCAGAGTACTCCATCTCATCCAGATGTTTGATGAACTGCTCTTCCTGGTACTCTGTTTTGGGGTTATACCCAGAAATTTATAACTGGCTACGTAGTCTCTGGTGTCTTCTGCTCACTCCTTCATGACGTTGTTCTGTTGCAGAAGATCAGCAATGGGATTCCCCTCCCACCTGCCCAGGAGCCTCCCAGCCGACTCCATGTGAAGCAGAAGCCAGGTAGTCTCCCCAGCCAGGGACCTCGGTGGGCGCGATGTGAAGCTGTGCCCGATTTCCTCCCCTCTGGAGGCGCGGGAGGAGGCTGGTTGCCCTCTGCAGCCGTGGCTGCCTCTGTGCGAGCAGGTTGCAGAAGAGCTGCTGGGGGTCTCTGCTGACTGCAGGCACCGTTCCTCTGCTCTTGTTTCGTTCTGCAGGATCTCCTGGGGGAGAAGATGCCTCTGCAAACGATGCTGATGCCCAAGTGGACTTCACGGTGAGGTGTTTCACAAGCTGGAACTGCCTCAAGAGATCCAGGCTGTGAAAAGTGAAACCTTCCTGGCCAGATCCTCTAAAATTCCTGAGCTGCCCAAAAATCACTGGGAAAAAACTTTTCCTCCACCCATTTTCCCACACCAAAAAAGGCTCACATGTGATCTTTTCTTCAGCAAAGTTTGTGACCATACAATTGTGTGAGGTAGAGGCTTATCGGAGCAGTGCCCTTTCACCAGCCTCCAAGGAGCCAAGAGCCCCAGACACAGGCAATGTTCTCAGGCACATGCTTTAGTGCCTATTTTGCAGGAGCGCACTGCCTTTGAACTTGCTGCAGTCTGGGTTCGTTCATATTTGCAATTCTTCTGGGATGATGTCCTCTGACGCACCTTCATGTCCTTAGTACCACCATTGCTGTGCGTGACAGAGCTAGTATTGTTCCTGTGTCCACTTGGGGACAGCACCTCCCTAGCAGTGCCTGCTACAGATCAGCTCTGCTCCCTGTGTCTTTGCCACCCCTCTTTGTAGGGCTTTTGAAGCCGTTTGTAGTCAGCTGTACTTCAGACAAGGTGGCACAACTCGAGGACTTGGCTTCGCCTCTCCAGCTGGCTCGAGGAATTGGGGTCCTGCTCATACAGGCCTGGGACTGGGAGGTACCTCTGCGATCAGACCCAGAACCAGGTTTCCTGGTCATGGGAGGAACATTTGATCCCAGGCTTTGAATCTGTAGTTCTTCCTCTGAAATTCAGATCTTCCCTTTGATGCTGGTCTGCCTTCACATGGTAGTGCTGAGCCGAGGGGTTGCGTCTGTGTCACCTCTCTTGACGGGAGAGTCCTGACAGGAGAGTCCAGAATAACTAAACTGTTGATGGTTCCACATCTCTCAGCAGATCTCGCCAACCCCCGGAGAAGCTTCATCCAGCCCAGACAGACCCGTTGTGCTGCAAGCGCGCTGCGAGTGCACCGTGGTGGTGAGGGCGGGCGAGGTGCCGTCGCTGCCGGACCTGCGGGCTCTGCTGAGGAAGAGGTTTGCTCAGCAGGCAGAGCAAGGGAAGCTGAGGTACGCTGTGGCACAGCCGGGCCCTCTCGCTGCACATCTGTGTGACAAGGCAGCAGCAGCCGTTCCCCTGAGGATGCAGACCTGCGTCGGGTCTCCTGGGGACATCGGTTTGGGGTCAGAGCGGTCTGGCAGAGATTCAGCAAAGATGCGAGCACACGGGCTCCCTTGGCAGGGCCAACCTCACTGTGAGTTTTGGTTTGGAGAACAGCATGTGCTCTGTGGGCTTTGGAGGCCCAGAGTATCTTTCCTCTGTGCAGGTGCAGCTGCCATGGATTGGATATTCTCCCACTCAGCTCTGCGTTTGAGATACTCCAGGATCAGGGCAGAGCAATTTGGGAGTTGGTCTGGGGGTGAGGGCTCCCTGACGCTGACAGCCCTGGGCACACACAGCTAGTGTAGTCAGGAGAGTCTAGAATCTTCCTCTCCAGCATGAGAAGGTGACAGTCGCTCGCCAGCAGCACCGTTTCTGCCCACTGGCCACACTGGGTGGCCTCACGTCACTGGGCAAGGTGACCATTTCAGAGCTGGCTCACAAAGGGGACTTCAAAGACTGAAGTTGGTAGAAGGCTGGGCTTCCCTCAGAGTTTGGCTTTAATATGAGCCGTATTAATGCACCCTTGCAGCTACAGGCATTCGGATGGCAAGGAGCTGGGTGCAGTTTTGGGAGACGAGGATCTAGGGAAGATGTGGCAGCAGCTGACAGATGGCGGGCTGACGCTCTGCTGCCAGGTACGTGGGCTGTGACAAGCTTCTCTGCTGTGCTGGTATCAAATCTCTGCTTTGCCTTGTAACCTCCGTGCTGGCTTTCTTCTGCAGGACTCGGACTTCCACTCAGGCAGACCTGTTCTCTACAGAATGCTGGCTCAGCACTCTTACCCTGCGCAGGGACCGGGCGACCTGGAGTTCAGCAAGGGAGATGTGCTGGATATTCTCTCTGAAGGTAACAATCCCGTCCTGTCTGCAGGCTTGTACTGAGGCAGGCTTTTGGAGTGTGCTGCAGGGAGGGACTGGGAAATAGATGGTCTTCCAGTGCTGCCTCAGGCTCGTACTGCCAGGAGGTACAGGCTTGCACTGGGTTTTACCCAGAGTTGAGTTCCAGCCATGAAAACTCTCACTAACCTCACTCGTATGGGCATGGGCTCATCCTGCTCCTTTATGTCTTCCCAGTGAACAAGGACTGGCTCGAAGGCTGCTGCAATGGCAAGACTGGCATCTTCCCCAAATGCTTTGCAACTCAGACCGGTTGTGGTGCTGCCTCCCTGTAGTGAACAGGGGCCTTTCCCTGGCGGACTGCACTGTCTCCCAGGGCGGGGAGACACCAGGCCCAGCTCTTTCAGGCCAGAGCCAGCACAGCCA